TTATGTATATGTACATTATCTATTTCTTTGGATAAACTACATCTACAGGCACTGCAGTCTCGTTACGATGGGAGTTTGTTAGGAGTCTCACTTGAGTTTCTCCTCTCACACGGCATGTTGGTGGAGATAGCAAGGAGACCGGCTCTCGTTGGAGAGCCGTCCTTCTAGGAAAGAGAAACACCAGAGTCCTTGCTAGCAACATGCAGATTTTATCTTCATTTTGCATCGGTGGGGTTTGGTACTCTATTTGATCTGTTTCTACATGGTCCGATCCTGCTGGGAGTCCATTGGACTGTGGTATGGTACCGTTGGGGGTAGAGAAACTGGCATCCCACAACACAGTTCAATAATTGGGGGTTGGAAAAACGTCACTGCTTGGGACAACCATGTGATTCAGCTGGCTGTGGAAATGCTCTCCTGAATAAACGACGCCGGAGATCCTTAAATCGCCATCCTGCGATGTGTCCCTGGTTCAACACGCCTCAATCAAATGGCTGAGTTACCTCCTCAGTGCAGTCAAGTTCTTCAGTCTTGCTAATGACCTGATTATTTGACCCGGGTGTGTTGAAGCAGAGTCGCATCTAAAGCCTGCAGGACACCGGCCCTGGAGGATTCCTGCGTCAAACCATAAAACAGCTTACCAACCAAACAAAACTAAAGAGACCTGACTTCATTTATTCATCCCAGAGTTCGAGACAAGACATCAGACTCTGGCAGTAGCTGAGGAGGCCCCTCTGCATTGTGCATCCATAAAAACTGCAGTTCTAATAGTGGCTGTAGACACTCCCTGTTTCCCCAGGCCTAAAGAGTTATAGGCCTATTTAACTCGAGAGAACTCACTGTGGTCATGATGGTATTACCCCAGACACCGACACTAACTTTGACATTTATATATAGACATGCAGATATCCAGATGAAATACACATCAGAGTACATCAGCAGTTTAATTTTATTATATGGATTACAATAAGAATTGAGTTGCTGAATGTGCACATTTGCAACGTCAACATGTGTGCTCACCTAACCTACTGGCTGGGGGCAGTGGGAGACAATTGGGCCTCCGTGTCATGTTATATTTATGCCCCATGAAAATGGAACGCTAGTGATAACTAATTAGATTACAATTATTTAAAACAGGTTGTTAGCGGTACCAATAACTGTGCCAAAAGTGATTGTTGAATTAATTAGCTGAAATCAAAGGTTGAGGTTTTTTTTCCTGCACTTTTCAGCGCGAGATTATGCTGCCGTAATAAAAGATGAATTAAGCTTGAGGCTTTTTAAAAAGATTTTTTATTCACACCGTTAACCAGATGTTGCGAACCATTCAGGATCAGTCGTTGCGACTCTTAACATTTGTCAGCGGGTTGAACATTTTTCCGAGGTCAAGAAGGTCCACTTTTATTTTCTTTTATTGTTCTAATTGCGTTGCGGACATGCCTGCCAAACATCAGTGTGTGCTGACATTATCATTGTGAGTGCTCTCGCAGGGGCACTCATATTTCTGTGGCGTCCGAGTCTCGCCAGGAAAAAAAGAAAAAAAAACAAAAGCTCACGGTTCACCGCGGCACTCTCGGTGTAAATGTCAAAACTGCGAAGCAGGTGTTATTTTCTGCTCTCGACGCTCGGCGTTTCCGGCCTGAACCGTTGCTTTTTGTTTTCGTGAACCTGAAGGCTCACTCCGAGCAAGGTAGCATTCATCATGATTATGCCTCCATGATAATGAGACGTGGCGGAATTAATATTCATTTGTTCCTCGCCTTCCGCGGGGACTCTGAAATGTAAATAGGTGCACTCTGCTGTGACACGCTGGCTAATGTACAATATGTAAGTTTAATGAAATTAAAAGAGAAAGTGTTTAGAGCTGCTTTGGCCACTTGGCTCAGCTATTTTCAGCTCTGCTGTTGTATTGTCTGTCGCCCATTTGTCTGTTTGTTTTCCCGTCAAGCTTTGGCAAAAAAAGACTACAGAGCAGAGTTTCATAATGCCTTCTGGAGCAGAGAGGCTCTTCAGGGGCAAAGCAAAAATGCATCCAATTTTGGGTCCAGATCCTTTTCTTTTAAACTGCTGGGAAGGTCGTCCACCTTGACAGAGGGTTGACCTCTGCTAGCTATTGAACCTGGCAGACTTGTTATACGAGTTAAACTCCTGCAGTGCTGGAGAGTCAACCCAACAGTTGGCGCATTCATAAAACAAGTATTTTATTTAAAGACATCTCGATACTAGTCGTCATCTTAGGCGTATGCTAGGACTTCACCAAAATTATCACCATTAATATGTAGGAATACGTAGTAGCTTTAAAGACTGGTCTGTTTTCATTCATGCCAGCTTAGCGATGCTATAATATTTACTCTGGTTTGATGTGACTTGTTAATAACTTGTTAGATTTCTTTTTTTTAACAAGATGTTTAATGGCTAGTGTTTCGACTGCTCCTGTTACAGTTGAGGATATCTGGGCGCAGAGCAGGTCACCTGACACTGACAGGAAGCTGGAACAGCCAATAGCCTCACCTCCCCAGTGAACAGATTTGTAAACAAGGAAAAGCGTTTTAAGTGCTAACTAAACCAAAGGTTTATTAGACCAACAAAATTTACACTAAGTATGCTGCAGCCTTGTGAGCCAAGCCTACAAAACTTAGCCTGGCCGTTGCCTAGATTCTCATCTCTCTTCGCTGCTCTGTCTGGGCTTTCTCTCATTAACTTGGATTTCTCTGGTAGATTTTCCGTTGGGCCAATCAGTGAGCAGAAGGAGAAGTTGTGCACAATGATGGCGATTTTCTGTGCTGTCTTAGAAATACAGTCTGCCTTCTACCAATAGTTGGGGAGGAAGTGAATGAAGCCATTCAGCCTGTGTTGAATTATCATCAACAGCCACCTCATTTGCAGTGGAGAAGGGTTGTTTACAGCACAGACTTTTGCTTATTTGTTAAAATTGTCACTGTCATGACAGTATGAGACAGATAATCTGTAAAAAACAGTATATTCTCTACCTCTTACCAGTGCTACTGTTGCAATATGCAGAAATGTAATACTTCTGGTCAACCAATCAGAGCCAGGAGCAGGGTCTGTCAATCAGGCTTGTGTATGTGTGTCTCAATGTGCTAATGGCGGAGAAATACCTTACAGTTACAGGGAAAGAGTTTATCTGTCATCATCATTGGCTGTGCTCTCTAGCCTGAGTACGGGGGACAGTGTGAGCAGCGCATACACAAGCCTGATCGACAGCGCTAAGTTCCTCCTTCTGGCTGTGATTTATTGTTTCTGATATAGTGGTGCATTCCTCCAGCTAGCATTGAGAGCAGAGAAGCCAGGTGTTTTTTTTTTGTTTTTTTTTACACTACCATTCTGTCACGACACGGTGATAGTTTTAGGAAATATGTAAACTTTATTTTTCTTATTATTAAAGTTGCGTACTGCAGCTTTTAGTGGGAAACAAACTGCACGGCTTGCTGGGGATGACATACAACCAACTACAACAACTAGTATATGAAGTCAAGATTAGTCAGGAATCCTGATAGCTACCATTTAAAAAAAGCCTTGATAGGAACCTGGAGTCGATACTTAGGATCTTATTAGCTGTATTTATTATTGACATTATGCGTCTTAATTAAACGAGGGAATCAAAACCTACTTTTAGGCCTGTCACGATAACAAATTTTGCTGAGCGATTAATTGTCTAAAAAATTATTGCGATAAACAATAATATTGTTTCAAGACCAGTTGACACTGATTTAATGGAAATGACTAATAATGCATGTGATTTCCTGCCATAGATGGATACACTTTATTTTCAAAACAACACATAACACTGGAACTGATAAACTAAATAAACAAAACAACCAAAAACAAAAATAAAATGGATTCTCAGTCTCCATTAACAAAAAAACGTACTTGAATAATAATTAAACAACATAAAGCCAAAGTGGAAATAAATACTGCATTCAACCAAAAGAGTGGACACCACTGGACACCACACGGCACGACGAACCCGATTGAATCGTTATACCTAGGATTTCTGTCGGCTAATGTGTCTCTCAGGTTTTGAAAATGGGCCGACAACTCTTTTAGTGTGCGCTGGGCATTGCACTAAGGAAATAGGAAGGGAGGATCAGTGCAGAGCACCGGAGTTGAGCCTTTTTCATTCAGTGTCATCAACAGAAAGAGAAAACGGCAGGAAGAGACGATAAAGCCGATAATTAAAATGAGGTCGATAGGTTTAATTTATTGTGCGATTGATTTATCGTTTATCGCGACAGGCCTACCTACCTTTAATGTTGTAACTTGAAAGTGGAGCAAAAGCAACACGGATATTTAGATTTTTTAAAATGCCACCTAATTACATACCTCCGTGTTTCTCTTCACACATTACATCTGTTGCTGTGCTTCTCCCAGGCTCAGCCGCTGCTTTCAACTAAAACGTTCCACTGGGGATTTGAAGTTGAAAATAACATCAGGTGTGTTTTTGATGAAATGAATGTTTTTTTCCGTTCTTCTTTTTTTTTTTTCTCGCTCATGGTGCTTTGAGTCATACAACGTTTGCATGGTGGAGAACGAGAGAAGCATATGTATTTCAGACTGTAACACGGGTTCACAGCATTCCACTTTCTGGTAAAAAGAAGTGGTGGTGTGTGTGTGTGTGTGTGTGTGTGTGTGTGTGTGTGCGTGTGTGTGTGTGTGTGTGTGGAGGAAATAAAAATAAATAAAGCTGGATCTCTGAAATGATTTGCTGAAGGGGACTGTTTCTATTGCTGGCCTTTAACCTTTCAGTTTATTAATTCCTCTCTCCGGTGTTGTACTCCACATGGTTATGTGTGTTTTGATGGTTGTGATAAGTGCTTCCTGCGCTCTAAAGAGTTGCATGGCAGTCTGGGTGCGATCCAGAGCACCTGGCAAAACCCATCACACTGCAGAAAGAAAAGCTGTCCTGGTCAAACGCAACGGCGTAGATAAATAAGGCCCGCACTTTTCTCCTGAGCAGGACGGAGCGTTTCGCATGACTCCATTCATAACTCCACAGGCTGCTTTTCATTCATTTTGTACATGTGGGTACAGAAATGTGTCTGGTAGAAAGTGTGAAAGGTCTTAACATAAATGTACATTTTAGTAAATCAGCAGATTTTTTGGGAGAAAGAAAAAAAAAATTATATTAGATGTGAGCACATTTATTCAGTGTGGAAATAATTATTTTCAAGAAAATCCCTGTTGGCACAATTTTTTATTAGTTTTAATCACTTTAGAAGGAAATTAATTGACACATTTTTATTATTATTTTTTTCCAAGTAGACCAGAGTTTCTGGGAATTTTAAATCACGAACCCATAACTTTCTTTTATGCCGGAGGTGTAAACGCACACAGAGCCCATTTCCTTCAGCCGCTGGCCAGGACCGGACAAGCAGTTTATCTTCCACCGCGCAGTGAGCAGGATGGAGAGGTAGAATCTCACTGTCAGAGGAAAAACGCGTGACATCTTCCACAACAATCAGTAGATATTTCTGTATTCTGTGTTGCTTCAGGTCATGCTAACCTCAGACATGACCGAGTGACATCAGGAAGTCATAGAAAACTCTTCAGTCTCAAGTTCTTGGAAAGGTAACTGTAAATAGTACCGTTGTGTTTAAGGGTTGATGGGTAAACGTATCAACAGCAGAGCTACCAAAAGTCGTATCGTTGATGGTTTTCTTGAAAGCATTTCTTCTGTAATATAGGAATGTACTCAAAGATAAAGGTGTTTGTTATGAGGGAATTCAACCAGTTTTTAAAAATAGAGACGCACCGATCCGATGTTGATATCTGTTATCGGTCCCGATGTTGAAAAAATGTTTAGATTGGGTATCGGTGACGACGTGCTCAGATCTATTCAGTCTCATTCTATGCTTTATGCTCTGAGCGACGACATGCTTTACTATTCGATTTCTATTATATTTAAATGCCTCAATGCACTTTCTGAACCACTTGAAAGGAGGCTTGTTGCAATTCATTTCTACGAGTTAGTCAACCTATTGTTTTTGTCACTTTTCTGTTAATTTATTTATTTTACTTTGACTGTTCTGCTCCTAATTTTCACTGAACAAATTAAAGGTGTGTTGTTTGTACATGTTTGACCAAGCTTGTGAAGCTACTGGTGTACCGGTGCAGAGTTAACAAATAAGCTTGTAATTCAGTTCATTTAAGTCAACTCGGGGTGTTTCTCTGCATCGAATCGTTATCAGATAACGGGATCAGAAGTGGGGGGGGAAACAATGGGATCGGTGCGCCCCTATTTTACAGATTCTGTCCACAGTCACTATGTCCAACTGCCTTCAGGTGCTCATTTCCTCTTGATGGCATTCTCACCTGTGCGATAATTAGCGTCGACTTCACCTTCTCTCTCTCTCCTGCGAGCGCGGAGCCGGGAGCGGGTGAGGACAGCGCTCAGGGTTAACCGACACGGCCGAATGCAGACGTCCCGAGAGCCTTTTCGAAGGGAGAGTGAGGGAAAAACACGTCGGAGGCAGTAAGGTGGAAATGGAAGGATGAAGGTGATGGAGGGCTGAGCAGATATGACCTCTGCAGCTCTGCTGATGACATGAAGCAGAAGATGAGGTGGGGCGAGAGGGCAGGGGGCGTGGGGCGGGGGCGAGCAGAGAGGGGGAGACAAACTGAGCAAGGAGGATTAGGAAAGCAGCTGGTGAAGATGATCCACCCGAGAGGCGGGAAGGGAGGGCAGGGAGGAGCGACGAGGAGAAGGAGGACGCTAGAAGAAAGTGGAAGAAGGGGAGGTGCGAGAGATTGATGAGAGAGAGTGAGAAACTAATTCTCACTTCACTCTGGAACGGGAGATTAGGGAAGATTAGAGAGATAGAGTGAGGCAGCGATGGAGTTTGGGTGATAACTTCGACCACGTGTCACAGGCGGATCTCTGAATGGCTAATACTCAAGGAGAGACAATGAAATGGTGACTGAGAGGGTGAGATTGTGAAGCAGATTGTGGGGAGGAGGGAGAGGACTTAAAGAGTGAATGATAAGGAGGGAGCAGAAAGAGTCTGAGATGGAGAGTGATAGACGAACGAGTAGATAAGAAGATACGTGTGCAAATCATGTCCCGTAAAGCGGACGCCGTTTTTGCCGGTGTGCAGTAATCCTTGCCACGGGAGCGTGGATGCAAAAAAATAAAAATAAAAAATCCAGGTCATCTTTCTACTTTTTCCAGCTCTCGCTTTCCCCGAGACTCCCCACTGGGATTCACTCTCTAATGCCGCACAAGTCTTTGTGACGGTATCTTTTACATTATGTTCTTTTTCACTTTGGAA